GTACGCGGGCCTCTCACTGTTGTGGCCTCTACCGTTGCGGAGCAACAGGCTCCGGGCGCGCAGGCTCAGCGGCCATGGCTCACAGGCCCAGCCGCTCCGCGGCATGGGGGATCCTCCCGGACCAGGGCACAAACCTGTGTCCCCTGCATCGGCAGGTGGAGTCCCAACCACTGCGCCACCAGGGAAGCCCCTGGCAATAGTTTTTTGATCTGGGTGGTAAGTTACTTGGCTATTCACTCTATCAATTGTAAATATGTTTTATATATTATTCTGTATGCATAAGATACCTCACAGTAAACATTTTTGTAATTTAAGATTTTTAATATATGAATGGAGGAATGTTGGCCATGCTGGTTAATCTTAGTCATTTTTATAGGAAGAATATGTAGATGTTGATTAGTCAAATGGCTTATGCACAGGGCAGCAGTTCTTTGATAACGAATTATTTGGACCAGTATAAATAAGGGGTTCATTATATTTGTTGCTAGATACGTGTTCTTTTAAATATATGAGGTCTAAAATAATGTACTTAAAAGAAATTATTATGAATTGGTAAACAGCTGTTCCTGTGATTCAGTGTCTTTAATTTTCCTTCTCCCTCCCCTTGTTTACTCCTGTTCCAGTCATACCAGTTACACAGTGCTGTTTCAAGGTAACTGTGCCTTCTCACATACTAATCGCTTTCCCTGGAAAGTCATGTTTCTGCCTAACTCCTTATTTTTAAAACTGAAGTGTGATTCCCTCCAGAAAACCTCTTATAATACCTTTCTTTGTTTCAGCCACACCTCTGTTTCCTTTTAATTCTGTGGGTAATACTATCACAGCATTATGGTATAATGATTGTATGTTAGTTGTTTGAAGGCAAAGATCTGGTCTCAACTTTGTATGCCCAGTACCTACTATAATAGCTGGCATGAGTGAACGTTTAGAAGTTTTTACTACATTGTTTTAACTTCATTTACTTTAATATTAAGTATTTCTTAAAATTAGAATTTTAAAACAAGAATGAACTTAGAAATCATCTATAACCCCTCGAATTTAAAATGTTTTTAAGATGGTATGACATCAGGTTTAATAGCTGAGATTTGGAAATCTTGGGTCCACCACTTGCTGCATAATCTTGGACAAATTAAGTTCTCTGAACTTTATTTTTTCCTTATTTGTAGTAGGATAATAAAAGGGTCTCTTTCATAAGCCTGATGTGAGGATTGCTTGAAACAGTGTATGTAATGCTGTGCCTGATGTAAGCACACAGTAAATACTAGTATGTATATATATCATATGTATATATATTGTGTGTATATATGTATATTATTACCCATGAGGAGATGGGGCCAGTAAAGTTGAGTGACTTAAATAAGGTTCCTTAGCTTGGTAGTGGATGAGAAAGGACTTGAGCTTGTCTTCTCAATCCTATCTGGTTGCTCTTAACACAGGTGCAGAAAAGTTTTTTTGCTTTTGGTAAAATGT